GACGGCGGCGGAGCGGGCAGTGCTAGTGAGGCGCCCAGGCGGGACTGGTGGGACCCGAGGGGCGGGCGGGCCGGCGGGGCGCCGGGGCCGGGAGGCAGGGTCAGGCGGTGACCCGGCACTGTCCCTGGCGCCGTCCCGGCAGGAGGAGGAGTTCCGCTGGCTGCTGCACGACGAGGTGCACGCGGTGCTGAGGCAGCTGCAGGACATCCTCAAGGTAACGCGCCGCCCGCGGTTCGGCGACCCGCGCCCCGCGCGCCGCCCTGAGCCCACCTGCGGCCCTGGCCCGAGCCCTCGCGCGCGCCGCGCCGGGCCCAGCGTGCCCGCCCTTCCTCCTGCCAGAGCGCCCTCGTCGTCCCGGGGCTTTTTCCCGAGTGGCTGCTGAGCCCGGGCGCGGCGATTTTCAGACAAGGCCCCCACCGCCGTGAGCTCGGCGAGTCTGGTCCGGGGCACGGTCAAATCTTGCCCGGTGAAACTAGCATCTGTGTGCGTGTCCTGAGTGCGAGTCCTGACCCGGGGACTCGCTAGGACCTGGATGTGGCTCTGGGTAGTGACGTTCAATCTGAGAGGGGTGGGATCTCTGCCCCTCCCCAGCAGTGTCACTCCAGCCGGGCCACTCAACCCCTCGGGGCCTCCCTTTCCTCCTTCGCAAAAAAAGGAGGTAACAGCCGGGCTCGGTGGCTCAGCCTGTCATCCTGCGCCTTTGGGAGGCTGAGGTGAGTGGATTGCCTGAGCCCGCAGGTGCCTGACCCGCCTGGGCAGGTGAGACCTCATCTCTACAATAAAATCAAAAAATCAGCCGGGCGTGGTACCACGCGCCTAATTCCGGCTACTTGGAAGGCTGAGCGGGAAGGATCGCCGGAGCCCAGCAGGTCAAGGCTGCGGTGGCCAGGAGTGGCCACTGCACTCCAGTCTGGGCGATGGAGTGAGACTCCAACTCAAAAAAAAAAAAAAAAGGAGATAACAGTACCCGCCTTATGGCTGTAGTGGATAGATAATCCAGTCGACTCATAAAAATGACCAGCGCAGTGCCTGGTATGGCCCAGAGTTTCAGGTTACTATGGCTACTGTCCCTGGACTCTGCACCCCTCTGTTCTGTGCGCCCAGGGAATGTGGAACCAACAGTACCTGCAACTCAGGCTGCAGGGGAGGGGCCCGAGCAACAGGACAGTGCCCCGGAGGCTTGGGCAGGGCCATCCCACACCAGGCAGACCCAGGTGCCAGCCTATCAGGTCCCTCCCCAGCTCCAGCTGACCTGGGTGTGGGGGGTTCTGGAAGGAGCCCTGGGTTGGACTTGGGTGAACATCCCCTGCTCCCTCTGCCCTGCAGGAGGCCTCTCTCCGCTTCACTCTGCCAGGCCCAGGCACTGAGGGGCCTGCTAAGCAGGAGAACTTCATTCTGGGCAGCTGCAGGTGAGCCCGGGCTGGGCAGAAACGGGAATGGGCTCCTTGGTCTGGGAGACTTCAGGAGTATCCTGGGGGCAGGTGGTATGGCCACAGCCCCGCCCTGTGGGCTGGGTAGGAGTGCAGCCAGACAGGCAGGGGCAGCCGGGCAGGAGGGGCTGCGGTGCCACTCTGACCGCCACATGTTACAGCACAGACCAGGTGAAGGGCGTGCTGACTCTGCAAGGGGACGCCCTCAGCCAGGCGGTGAGTCCCCCACCCCCTTCCCTTCCCATCCTGCTCTGCCACCAGCTGGCTGTGTGACTCTGGGCGGGACCCTTGGTCTCTCTGGCCTCAGTTTCCCCCTTTGTAAAATGACACCACTCTCTCACGGGACTGGTGTTCGGATCTAGTGAGAGGTGCAGGAAGAGATTTCTTTGCACATGGCCCGGTCCGGTGTCTGGACCCAGTGGAGCGTGGGCATGGAATGGATTAGGCTGGCCCAGATTCCAGTTGAATCAGCCAACATCTGAGCTCCAGTCTGTGCCCAACCCTGTGCCAGCCTCCCCCCCAGGCTCCATCTGTTGGCCCTTGACCTGCCTCGTTTGCCCACCACCTCCCGGGGCTACCTTCCCCTTTTCCCTTTCCGTTTCTTGGCCTCTTTTGTCTTTCGCTTCTTTGTGGCACTTCTCGGGCCTGGGTTCCTTTTTCCTGACCTCCCTAGCCCCCGCCTATGATGGCCAAGGCACTGGGAGGCCCTGTGTCCTGCAGAGCTGCCAGGGCCTGCGCTGCCAAATGCCCAGTTTCTGCCCTGGCTGGAGGACTCAAGGCAGCCAACACAGCAGGCGTCTCCCAGGCGGCTTAGCCCACTCTCACCCAGCAGGACGTAAACCTAAAGATGCCCCGAAACAACCAGCTGCTGCACTTCGCTTTCCGGGAGGACAAACAGTGGAAACTGCAGCAGGTAATGGTCCCTTCTGGCTGGGGCTCCGGCCACTGGAGCAGGCCAGGGCAGGCCCGCCCCAAGGCCTCTCTGGAGAGCGACTGGCCCCGGGGGAATTATGGCCAAAACAAGCTGAGAGGGTGTTTCCTAGCAGCAGTCTCCCTCCCTCCTGGAAGGATGGCCCCCTGGCTCGATGACCACACGGGGGATACTGTTTTCAGATCCAGGATGCCAGGAACCACGTGAGCCAGGCCATCTACCTCCTCGCCAACCGGGATGAGAGCTACCAGTTCAAGACTGGCGCCGAGGTCCTCAAGGTGAGCTGCACCCAGCCCCGCTGCCGGCCCGGGCCCTGGGAGAGTGCCACTCATGGCCCAGGATCTAGAATCCAACCTGGGCTCCAATCCTAGGGCCTCCGCCGTGAGCTGTGTAAGCTCCAGGCACTTACTTGGCTGCTCTGAGCCTCCCTTTCCTGCCTGTGAGAGGGGACAAGCTGCAGAGATGGTGGACTAGGATCATGCCTGTCAGGAGCCCCACTAGGCAGTCCACAGACATCAGCTGCTGGCAGCGGCAGTCAGAGCCTCTAGTTAACTGCATGAGGCCTGACTTGTGCTGTAACTCTGCCCAACTTGCTGTGTGCCCTCGGTGGTTCACCTACCCTCTCTTGACCTTGAAACCAGCCGGACTGAGATCCCTCCTAGAACTGTAACCACCCTGGGGGTGACATAGCCCCCATACCTGGACTCTTCGTTTCTCTGGAGCCAGGTCACCTGGCGCCCGTGGCAACAGCTGGAAGGCATGGAAGCTGGGACTTGGGTCTGCTAAGGCCTTGCTCCTGGCAGAGGGAAGGGGTGGGCTCCAGGTGGTTCCTCTGCTCACCAGCTGTGCAACCCTGGCCTACCCCTGGGAGCTTCAGTTTCTTCACCTGTGAGAACAGAGCTACCACCTGCCTTAAAACCTCAGCTCAGGCTGGGTACAGTGGCTCACACCTAAAATCCCAGCACTTTGGGAGGCGGAGGCAAGAGGATTGCCTGAGGCCATGAGTTCAAGACCAGCCTGGGCAACTTGGTGAGACCTCGTCTCTACAATAAATCAAAAAATTAGCCAGGTGTGGTGGCATGTGCCTGTGGTTCTAACTACTTGGAAGGCTAAGGCAGAAGGATCACCTGAGCCCAGCAGGTAAAGGCTGCGGTGGCTGTGAGCATGCCAATGCACTCCAACCTGGGCGACAGAGTGAGATTCCAACTCAAAAAAAAAAAAAAAAACACCAGCCATCCTGTCATCTCCTCCAGGAAGCCCTCCCTGACCCTTTACACCTGAGCTGGATTAAGGCCCCTTCTCCTGAGCTCCTTCATCACTGCACCCTTATCCACAAAACCTCCGCCCCTGGGACTGACTTCAGAGATCTGCCCCCATTGGACTGGTACCCCAGCGCCCCATGCTATAAGTCAGTCCCAGTCCTGATTAACAGTTATTAGTGCAGACATCCTGCCCCTACCCCCAGCCAGAGCCCAGTTTACTGAATTTTTACCAGGCCCTGCTGCAGGGGTTCAGGCCCCAAGAACCGTGACCACCAGGCAGGAGTAGGAGCCATAATAACTGCTGCTACCTGCACTCAGGGGAGGGAGGGGACCCAGCCCTGAGGCCTGTACAACAGCCATGACCCTCCCATCCACCCAGCTGATGGACGCTGTGATGCTGCAGCTGACCAGAGCCCGGAACCGGCTCACCACCCCGGCCACCCTCACCCTGCCCGAAATCGCTGCCAGCGGCCTCACGGTCAGTACCCCAGGCCAGCCCCTGCTCCAAGAGGGCATCCCCATCGAGGGCCGGGCCTGCTCCAGGAGTCGTGCCAGCCCCCAAGTTGTAGGCCATCAGGATTTGCGGTCTCTGCACAGTTTTCTGAGATGGGGATCTTGGCTTCTATCCCATGTCCCCCAAATACGTTAACCCTGTTTTGGGTAAGTGGATCCCACACCCAATGGCACAGGACGCTGCTGGGGGCACCAGGGAAAACTCTAGAAGCCCATGTCTCCAGGGTGGGGACCGAGGCACCCAGCAGGTGATTCTGCAAGGGCTGTGGCCAGCCTCAGAGGGCCAGGAGGGCCCTGACCCACATGCCTCCCCCAGCGGATGTTCGCTCCCGCCCTGCCCTCCGACCTGCTGGTCAACGTGTACATCAACCTCAACAAGCTCTGCCTCACTGTGTACCAGCTGCATGCCCTGCAGCCCAACTCCACCAAGGTGAGGGGACCCCAGAGCCCCCTTTCTTTCCCCACACGTGCCCCTGGCAGGCCTGACGCTCTGGTGCTGTTTTCCTAGAACTTCCGCCCGGCCGGAGGCGCGGTGCTGCACGGCCCCGGGGCCATGTTGTAAGTAGGCGGGAGGGGGTCCTGGCACGCCCACCCACCCCTCTGCACCAGGCCAGGCCGCCCCGCCCTCAGGGACCCTCCCTTGCCTGCAGTGAGTGGGGCTCCCAGCGCCTGGAGGTGAGCCACGTGCACAAGGTGGAGTGTGTGATCCCATGGCTCAACGATGCCTTGGTCTACTTCACCGTTTCCCTGCAGCTCTGCCAGCAGCTCAAGGACAAGGTGGGGGCTCCTCCGCCTGGGGGGATCCCAAGGGCTCTTTTCACACCCCCAAGGTGCCCAGTCTTGAGGTCTGTGGTGCCCCCACTGTGTTGCCAGGCAGCAGGGTCCACTCCTGACTCACTGCCTCCCCCGGGGTGACCTTGACCTCTCCCCAGGTCATGGGGTGTCCAGTGGGGCCAGGCCCCTGCACGGCCCCGGACTGTGCCCCTCCCTTTGCAGATCTCCGTGTTCTCCAGCTATTGGAGCTACAGACCCTTCTGAGCATGGCGCCCAGGAGCCTGTCCCCAGGAAGGTGGCCTGTCCCCCCTTGCAGTGCCAGCCAGAGCCAGCTCCGGCTCTGCAGGCTGTTGATCTCCCCTCTACCCTGTCTTGCCCGACGTTTGCCAGTGGGAAGGGACCAGGTTTGGTGCTTGGGGGTCAGGAAGGCGGGGCCCAAGAGAGTCCCACATGCCCAGCCCTGCCCTCCTGGACACCATGGAATCTTTGGACTCAGGGTGGGGCCCAGGGCACTAAGCTGCCAGCTGGGAGGGAGGAGCACGGTGAGACCAGCCCCTGTGAGCGAGTGTAGTGCTAGGTCCTGAAGTCTAGAAATAAAGACTACTAGGCCTTGTTTGTCTGTCTGTCTGAGTGAGTACACCAGGCTGGGGGTTCCCGGTGGCCGGTGGCCTTCCCTCTCCCCAGGGCCGGGCACAGAGCCTACCTTCGAGAGAAGACCCTCTGGCTGCCAGGGGACCCATGGGTGGTGGGTGATAGGAACCCTGCCTGGGAGTTCAGTCCCCCGAGTCTGAGGCCAGCTTCCTATCCCAGGTGACCTGGAGTGACATGGCACGTTCGTGCCAGCTGACAGCTTGGAGGGAGGGGCGGGCCTTCAGGTGGAACAGAGTCCCATGCTGCCCACCCCAAGGGGCTTTGAACACACCAGGCGCAGGCTCTGGGCAGACACAGGCATTGTTGCTGTCACCAGGCAGGACACACTGTCAAGGCTCCAGGGCCAGGTTATCCACTCCCTTGGGTCTTTCCTGCAAGAGAAGCAGAGGGGTCCATGGGGCTCAATCCGAGTTCCCT